CAGCCACAAAATCAGTTACACAATTTTGACTAGATCCAAACTATGTGTGGAAAAGTCAATGTTTCTAAACCCACAGGGGTACACTGGGGTAGGAAATGAGGACTCTGTTCACCCACCTAAAGAGTTGCAAAATTATTCTGGTTTCCTTAGCATATTAAGGCAAATTTCCCATGAGCATTTTTACTTTACTAGCAATGAAAATTATTACCTCTACGCAAAAGACTATACTCCCTTGGCTTATGTAATGTCTACATTTCTGTTTAAAGCCTGATCAAAATGTATGTCTTTAGCTATTCATATAATTTTAAATCCTTCTATAGTTATTATTTTATCAATACTTTTTAAAAAGTTTCCCCCACTTAAGAATCCAACACATTGATCAGATATCCAGAGCAAGCAATGATTTTTTTTATGAAAAATTGATTTTATTCAAGTTAGTATTATTTTAATCTTTGGAACACATAAAAATTTCCTTAGATCACTATCATCTTATTTAAAGAAATGAAGTTGAAAAATTATATCTAAAAATTATATCTAAAAAATTATATCTAACAAACTCTAAAAGCCCTAACTGTGACTATTTCTTTTTTTTTTAATAAGAAACAGCATTGACTTTTTTTCCTAAAAATTTTCAGAATTACCCTTTTTGGTAGGTGTTCTTTATAGAAGTATTTCCATAACTTTGGTGTGTGTGTGTACGCTCTCATGTGTCCATATATTTAAATAAAACAGCCGGTACCGCGGCTCAATAGGCTAATCCTCCGCCTTTCGGCACCAGCACACCGGGTTCTAGTCCCGGTCGGGGCGCCGGATTCTGTCCCGGTTGCCCCTCTTCCAGGCCAGCTCTCTGCTGTGGCCAGGGAGTGCAGTGGAGGATGGCCCAAGCACTTGGGCCCTGCACCCCATGGGAGACCAGGAGAAGTACCTGGCTCCTGCCTTCGGGTCCCCGCGGTGCGCCGGCCGCAGCACGCTGGCTGCGGCGGCCACTGGAGGGTGAACCAACGGCAGAGGAAGACCTTTCTCTCTGTCTCTCTCTCACTGTCCACTCTGCCTGTAAAAATAAATAAATAAAATAAAAAAATAAAACATACTTTACTGAAATTTAGGCAAAACCAGCTCTTGAATCACTAGCTAAAAAATATAAAACTAGTAGAAAATTAGCAGCTCTGGAACATGTAGGGAAATCAGTTGATTTTAAAACTATAAAGTATCTGGGCCAGCGCTGGGGTGCAGCAGGTTGTTGTTAAAGGCAGCAGGTCAAGTTCTAGGTGCTTCACTTTTGATCCAGTTCCCTGCTAATGTGCCTGGAAAAACTGTGGCTGAAGTACTTGGACCCCTGCACCCACATGGGAGACCCAGATGCAGTTCCTGGCTCCTGGCTTCAACCTGGCCCAGCCCTGGCTGTTGAGGTCATTTGGGGAGTGAATCAGCAGACGGAAGACATTTCTCTCTCTCTCTCTCCCCCTCCCTCACTCTTCCTCTCTCTCTCTCTCTCTTTCTCTGTAATTCTGCCTTTCAAATAAATAAATATTAAATCAAATCAAAACAAAAGAAAAAAACACAAGGTATCCCTATCTTGCAAAGTCTAATTAGAGAGATAAAATATATGGATATGAAAAGTTATCTAACTTATGAAATTTATATTTATTGAATAAAAGCTTTCTATAAAAAAGCTAAAAAATTATCTAGCAGTTCAAAGTAAAACATAATAATTCACAAAGCATTACAAATAATATGTCCTTTAAAAGTCAGCACAGCAGGTTAAGCTGCCACCTGCAATGGTGGCCTCTCATAGGAACACTGGTTTGAGTCCTGGCTGCCCTGCTTCCAGACCAGCTCCTTGCAAATATGCCTGCAATGGCAGGGAAGATGACACAAGTGCATGGGTCCCTGCCACCCACGTGGGAGATCAGGATGGAGCTGCCTGCTCCTGGCTTTGACCTGGCCCAGACCTGGCTGTTGTGGCCACTTGGGTAGTGATCAATGGGTAGAAGATCTCTCTCTCTCTCTCTCTCTCTCTCTCTCTCTGTCTCTCTCTCTCTCTCTGTCTTTCCCTCTTAATTTGTCACTCTGCCTTTCAAAAAAAGTTAAATAATTTTTAAGAAGTCAGTGAAGGGAGAGGCGGTAGGGCGTGGGTTGGTCAGAAAACTCCATGGTAAATAGAAAGGAGAGGGAGGGCTGGGAAGGGCATTCTCATAAAGGAAACTAAAAGGCAAAAATGCCACAGTTATAAGCTATAAGCAGACTGTGCATGGGGGAGAGAGAGTGTGTTTGCTGGTGCCTCAGCAGCCACTCATGCAGTCTTTGGCTGCATACCCAAGAGTTACAGGGTGTTGGAAGCAAAACTAGATGAACATTGAGAGAGAACCAGGGGTTGACAATTCAGAACTTGGTCTTTCTTTTTCTTTTTTTTTTTAGCACCTGAATCTTTTAAACATGAAATTTCATGATGAAATTTACTCAGTAAAACACTAAAAATAGCATTTCTCTTGATCAGTGCACAGGAGGGGGAGTCGATGTCTTGTCCACCCATCTCACAATCACTGTGGCCTGCAGTGGCGGGGAAGCTGTTAAAGCAACTGCTACAGCGGCCTTTGCAAACCCACCATCCTGATGGGACAGCCCTGTGTTCAGAGACCTGTTGAGGAGACAGCGCCCTTTCTCCAGTGCCCTCCAGACTGGAGCTGGGTATTTTTGTGCCACCCAGAAGTCCCTTGGCTGAAGGTCGGCAGCTTGCACTGGGATGGTCTGCTTCAGCTCCCCTGGGGCTGCTACTCTCAAGTCTATCTGCTTTCATGATAGGCCTTGCTCAGACAAAGCAAAATGGCAAAAAGGCCCCCAAACAATTGCTTTTGACCTTGTGTTACTTTCATCTTTATTTATGTCTACATTTATCGGTTCTGTGTATCCCTCCTCTCCACCCAAGCAGTATCACTTTTATATTTTTCAATACAAATGGCTGTGGAAACCAGTTTGATCTCTTGGTCCTGGAAAGAGAAAGACCAGAAAATACATTCCAGGAGCAGCGGAGCAGCGGAGGAAGTTGGTCCAGGATAAACACATTAATGCTCTCCTCCATAAAACAGGCAGTTCTTAGGAAACCAAGAAGGGAGTGCTATTTACCAAAGGACAATGCCATCCCCGACAGCGTTAAAGAGATCATCGGTGTTTGGATTCATGGGGATGACATGCCGACAGTCGGGATCATGTTCCAGGGCTTTGTTTATCCAGTTGACAAAGGCATACTTTTCTTCCTCTGCAGGTAAATGATCACAAAGACTCATTGGCAAAGTGAAAGTTTCAAATAAACAAAATTATCCACAGGGAGCTCAGATTCTTATACCCAGGAGAAGCGTTACAAGATTATCCAGTCCATTATCTCAATGTCTCACATTTATTGGCTTTTAAAAATCTCAAACCACTTGGGAAATAGATACAAATCTGTGTTAATTCTAGATCATAAAACATACAGATTTAGAACAAAGCAACAACTATATAAAATATATTTGCAGATATACTACATTTAGAAGCAAATATATACCTAGTTATATTTATATTGTATGTATATGTATATATAATAAATACTTGTGCTAGAGATATACTCCAAATATAATTGTGATCCAATGCATACAGGCTAAAACACTGGGCTCTTCCTGTAGCTTTGCTGATGTAAATGTTGTATGATATGGATAATACTTGGAGTTATCTCTGAACTTCTTTATATAATTTCAGTGAAGTTGCAATGAAATGAAATCATTTGTGATACTACATTTCTTTCCTATCAGGAAAGCTGCCATGAGTAGGTCTTAGAAGCTTTAACACAAACTCAAGCTGTGTCTTATAGTCCAGCACTGCCTTTCTCAAATTGTGTGTCACTAAAAACGAGTGTCCTTTGGAAGAAGCCCGAGTCATCAGCTTGTGTCACACTGCATTATGTTTCAGTGTCACACAGACTCATAATGGACATCTGACTGAACAAAGGCTCTGGAAATTCCTGTATCCATAAATAAAAAGCTACACTTTGTCTTAGCCACCACAGGCAGGTATCTCTCAGATCAACTACCTGTTTTAAAGAATTCGGTTTAGGAAATGTGAGATTACTACACTACTTGAGCTACTAGAAGTTTCCATTAATGCTGTTGGATGGTAGCTTTCAGAATCAATATACAAGCTTCTTCCAAATTGAAGAAAACACAGTTTTTTTGACCCCTCAGCAGGTGTCCAGAACAATCATGAAGTCTAAAGACAGAAACCTGAGCAGCTGATTTTGTGCATAAAATTTATGAAGGAATGTTGGCAGCCTTTTTTATTTTCTAAGTGCTGGTGAGATTATCTAGTATCAGATTCTACATCGAAAAAGGACTGCTCCTATATCATGTGCCAAGAATTGACCCCCTGACACATAGGAAAACAGGTAGGAGCCCATGAAGTGGTGCTGGCTTCTGTCACTGCTTGCGTCCCTTATGTTTGAATACCAAGCTGAGAGTTACAATCCCTGTAGGCATGGACCCTCTCTACCCCTTTCCCTCTCCTCCAACTCTCAGCTCCGTCAGCATCCCGAGACCTTCTCCACCCGATTCCCACCCATCAACAGAGCCTACCTGAATAGGAATGCTGGGTGCCAACGCTAGACTGTTCTGAAGTACCACCAATTGCACAAATCCCTTCTTTCTTATTGATTGCTTTTCTGAATGTCTTGGCAACCTCTGTGCTTTTTAGGCCATGGAAAATCTGCCAAAATACAATAAATCTTGAGAAAACCAAGCAGGGATCAAGAAAATCACAAAGGAAAGAGTATAGAATTTTGAAGCAAGAAGAATAGGAAGGAATGTCTATATTTCTCAAAACTGAATTAAGTTCTAAGTTTCAAATGCATCTCCTTGTATTCAAATACACTCACCTTGATAAACTCATCAAAGCTGATCTTCCCATCTTGGTCCAGATCACCTGTGGCCATCAGGTTTTCTGTGATTTCTCTTACTCTGTACCCAGGCAGAGGCAAGCAAGCAGCCTTGAACAAATCATTCAACTCATTGCAGCTGATATATCCATTGCCATCGGTATCTGTAACGCAAAGGACGCACTGAAGCCGTGGGACCATTCAGGCTGAGCGCACAGAGGCAAGGGGGCACTAGCGAGCAGGTGAGGGGACGGGGAGGCAATCACTAGGGGGCCATGGCCTGACCCTATGAAAGAGTCAGAACTTCACAAGAGGCCTGTTGCTATTGGATATGGGCATTAGCATCACTTCCAACTTCCACAGAAGAGTTCTGATCTCAAAGCAGAGGTTCTGGCAATTGAATCTGAAAGAACTCCTTATAGAAGCTCCTGGGTCAGTCACAGATGTAGTGATAAAGAGTAAGAGAAGGAAACCAAGCATAGGAAGATATATTGGGGGTAATTTCCAGGAAAAAAAAATACAGGTGGGAAGGAGTCTATATCATCTTTCAAAAATAGGTTCTCCAGCTCCTTTAGCCGATACCACACTGGTTTCCCAGAACTATGCTATTTGGCTCATGGCATCCTCTCACTGACACTGGCCTCAGTAAGAATTCCAGGTGCCAAGCTAACAGAGACGAGAACTTTGCGACTTGAGGTACCAGGTCTACTCACCAACTTTGGCAAAAGCCTCTCTGAGCTCCATCATCTCCTCATCGGACACTGATCCTCTGGCCATTTTTTTTTTTTTTAATTATTGCTTTAGGCAACCTAACTGGGGAGGAAGAGAATACAGGATTGAGATCTGTGCAAGTTAATTCTAAAGTACCACACGAAGCGGTGATTCCTGTTTACTTAATGGAGAAATAGTCTTTTGCATCTCTCATGGTGTGTAAGTATCCTTGCAAAAGTAAGTTCGGGGCCAGCGCTGTGACATGGCGGGTAAAGCCACCACCTGCAGTGCCAGTATCCCATATGGGCGCCGGTTCAAGTCCCAGTTGCTCTACTTCCAATCCAGCTCTCTGCTGTGGCCTGGGAAAGCAGTGGAAGATGAATCAAGTACTTGGGCTGCTGCACCCACGTGGGAGACCCGGAAGAAGCTCCTGGCTCCTGGCAGTGCAGCTTTAGCCATTGTGGCCAATTGGGGAGTGAAGCAGCAGATGGAAGATTTCTCTCTCTCTCTCTCTGCCTCTCCTTCTCTCTCTGTGTAACACTTTCAAATAAATAAATAAATCTTTAAAAAAAGAAAGTAAGTCAGAGGTAGGCTTTTTCTCAGTCCTGCATGCGGTGGTCTCCGAGCATGACCCTCAACAATTTACCCCCTCCCGCCATGTATACACATTGCTTTTCACATCAAGAGCTACAGCTTATTCCTCTCCCCTCAGTTAAGGGCTGGGCTTGCGGTTGCTTTGACAGCAGGTGATGTGAAGAACATCTGAAACTGGAAATCTTGGCCTCCTTCCTTTTGGATTAGGATACTCCCTCTTGGTACCACACTGCTGTGCTGTGAGATGCTGAAGCCACACAAAGAAGTCAATGAATGAGAACTGGGTGCTTTGATTGACAGTCCTTGTTGAGCTCCCAGATGACAGCCAGCATCAACTAGCAGCCACCTGAGAGCCCATCTGACCTAAATAACCATGGTCCCAGCCAACATCACATGGAGCAGCAAAGCCACTGAGCTGTGCTCAATCAGAATACAGAAATATTTTTGTAGTTTGTCATACAGCAATACACAACTAACACACTTTGACATACATGTCTTTTTTACACACTTTTACATAAATGTCTTCATATTCATAGTACAAATGACATGTTTAGCAAAGCCAACAAGTACATTTTATAACTTCAAATGGAGCCAGTTGTCTATATATTTATGGATGAATGAAGGGAATCTGACCCTTTAATAATTCATATATTGCATTTGGGGGCACTGTTTGTTTCCTTTGAAGAAAGCTAGTCTTGCTGACAGACAATGCTGGTCCTTGACTAAGTTCCTTTTCCCTGTGTGCATTATTGCTGTCCTCTAGTGGGGAGAAAGAGAATGAAACAGAAAGTACATTCTCTTTCCCAGGCCCTTAGCTAATCCACACCTGCAGGTTTCCAATAGGCTTATTGGATCTCCTGGTGGGAAGAGTTAAGTGGAATGGTGAGAGTGGAGGATGGAGTATTTCAATCTATAATTATATTTTGTGGATACTTTAGTGGAAATGATTTTCCAAATACTTTAAATTTGTGACAAGCTGTTTTAAATTGATTTCATCTTGGTATTTTTGTACCATTCTATATTGTTGTTTTGTTCTTGATGGCAACTTACAAGCACACAAAAAAGGAAGCATTTTTAACACTGAAACCTATAGACCCCAAATATATGACACTCGATTTTACAAATCCACATCCATTATCCACCAACTTATTATCCTGCTGCATACATATGTTGGTGTTTTCAAACTTTTGCTTCCCCAAGCAACTCTTTATTGACAAAAATGTCACATTGATATAAAGCCAACAAAGCTGGAATTTTGAGTCTTTACAAAACAGCAATTTTGAGAGTCTTTGTTTGAAAATAATACAAATGTCCTTGGCACTCCCTTCATCTTATTTTCTTGTTACCTGATTGGTCTATGAGAACTATATATATATATATATATATATATTTTTTTTTTACAGGCAGAGTGGATAGTGAGAGAGAGAGACAGAGAGAAAGGTCTTCCTTTGCCGTTGGTTCACCCTCCAATGGCCGCCGCGGCCGGCGCACCGCGCTGATCTGAAGGCAGGAGCCAGGTGCTTCTCCTGGTCTCCCATGGGGTGCAGGGCCCAAGTACTTGGGCCATCCTCCACTGCACTCCCTGGCCACAGCAGAGAGCTGGCCTGGAAGAGGGGCAACCGGGACAGAATCCGGCGCCCTGACCGGGACTAGAACCCGGTGTGCCAGCGCCGCTAGGTGGAGGATTAGCCTATTGAGCCGCGGCGCCGGCCCGAGAACTATATATTAATTCAATTAAAATCCAATGTTTTATCAATACAATTTTTATTTTTATTATTTGCTTTATATATCTAAGAATATAGTAACCCATTGGGTTATCTGAAGGAAAATAAACATTTTTGAGATCTTAATTGTAGAAATAAACAAAATCTCATTTATATATTATAATAACACAGAGGCAGATACTGACTAGTTCAGTTTTTGTCTCCTTCCTTCCTACCCTCCCTCCTTCCTTCTGTCTTCTTTCTTTCTTTCTCTCTCTCTCCTCTCTCACTCTCTCTCGGCTTTATCTACAAATAATTTTGAGCTAAGACACAAGGATATATCCAAAGCCAAGGGTTAAGCTGACTAAATGATGCAACTGATGAAAAGGAAAGTAGTGTGCAGGTGAAATAAGATGACGGCAGGGAGAGACTTTACTTAAAATACACACACAGAGATCCTGCATGCTTTGGCAGACGTAGGCTGAAAATCTAACTCAGGTTCTCCATGGGCTAATGCAAAGAGCAAAGTGTCATCAGTTCTGTGATTCCCTCCATCCGTGTGAGACAAACAAACCCATTCCTTCAGGCAACAGAACTGAGGTCTGACAACAAAATCTTCATCTAGGCTTTAAGAAGAGGATGCTGGGGGTGCAATAAACAAAAGCTTTGTTTTTCTTATAATGTCCCTCTCTGTAGGATGATGGCATATTCTCATTTTATAGAGTAGGAAACAAGCTCGGAGGGGCTAAGATCTGTATCTCAGATCACACAGCTGGGCAGAGGCACAGTCAGGACCCAGTCTCAAGTCTTCACTCCTCTCCTACACCATCTACTCAGCTTCCACACCTTCAAATTCAAAACTAGACACTCATTCTACCCACTCCTTCATTCACTCAGCAATTATGCATTAAATGTCTAGAGTATGTATGGCCCCATGGAAGAATTCAAAAATAACCTGTAATGAGCCTAAGCATTCCAACTGAGGATCCTTCTGCACTCATAGGCTAAGGGATCAGGCTTCTGGTTGAAGACATTAGTGTACAATTCTGGGTATGCTGTTAAATTTTGGTGACTGATTTCACTTGCCTCTCGCTTACACCCATGCTCCACAAATGCATTAACAGAAGGCTCCCCCATGAACAGAAGGAACATCTTGTGGTAAAATCTGGCCTAAACCCTACAGCTGGCTTGCACTTCATACATTCAGTGTCTTAACCTCTTGATTCCTAGGTGTTCATGGGACCATGAGATATATCTGTTCATTAACACGTTTTATGACTACCCACTATAAGCAGGCACTGTTCTTCATTCAACATGAAACAAGTCTATACTGAGTCAGTTAGTAACCCTAGAAGCAAGGAGGAAAAACAGAATCTCTGGATCTCAACCTGCCCTGCCCTTTGGTGTAGGAATGTTAGATTTTAGAGCCCTGTAAGAGACTGGTGAGAAAGCGAAGCACCAGTAGGGAATGAAACCATTTGTTAAGTGTCAAGAGCAGGGTCAGAGAAGAAACAAAAGAAGTGCAGTGCTGGGTAATAATGAAAATCTTTAAAAAATTTAAAAAAGATTATGGTATAGTGAAAAAAGTAAAGCAAATATTTCAGCATTAACACCAACATTGTATGACCCATTCAAATAAAAACAGATGAAGAAAAAAACAGGTTATTTTAAAATCATGTCCTTTGAATCTATAATTTATTTATTTGAGGGGGAGAGATAATAACAGAGAGAGAGTAGGCTCCCATCTGCTGGTTCACTCCCCACATGCCCACAATGGGGCCAGGTTGAAGACAACAGCCTTCAACTCCATCCAGTTCTGCCACATAAGAGGCAGGGACTCAACTGTTTCAGCCATTACTACTGCTCCCCAGGTGCACATTAGCAGGAAACTGTATTCAAGAACAGAGCCAGGACTTGAACCCAGGCACTGATATGGGAAGTGGGTGTCCTAACGGGCATCTTACCCTGAGACTAAATGCCATCCCCACCGTGTGGTTTTTAAACCATGGCAGACAGGTCAATATGCAAAATTTTCAGCATCTGTAACAACACTTTGCTAACACATTTGTGAGTGGGGAGGATCATCAGACAGAAACCACCTAGTGAGAAGTATGTCAAATCACAAAAATCCAACCCTTCACTGACTTAACAGCTAAAGCAAAAGAGAAGTGGATTGAATTAGTTTAAAAGATGAACTGGAGAAGGACTGGCCAATGGCTAAGTTGCTGTGACACAGTTTGTTGTTGTTGGACCCAAACACAAATAGGTATCTGGGTAGAGTCTTTTTTTTTTTTTACCATTCCAGGAGCATTGAGTCATGGAAACACAACCTAACTTTTAGGAACATAAGGAAGCTTAGGAATAACTTATTTCAACTCCCTCCTTTCATAAGAGAAGGAAATGAAAGGTACAATGAGACGAGATGCTGTCTATGCACACATTCCTTAAGGCAGTGCCAGGCGGGCAGTGGCAAAGGGGCAGAGCAGGGAAAGGATAGAATTCCCAGGGCCATTAACGTCCACAACAGAGAAGAGACCCTTTAGCTAATTGAACTGAATGTGCATTTGCAGAAAGCAGAGCAACAGGAAGAGAACATAATTAACTTAAAAAACATGCAGGTCAGGCCATTTCGAAGAATACTGTTGGTGTTAGAAACAAACACTGGTTACATAGTCTGCCTTTGCCTGGGGGAAAAGCATCCAATTTAATTCATGCTTATTTCAAGGTGTGAGTTACCAGAACATTAGTAAAATTAGTAAGGATAACTGGTGAGAGCTACAGTTTGCAAATCGCTGGCACTATATTGGCAGCAAACTGGAGAGACCACTGCAGTCATGGGTCACGTGCAGTGTTACGTGTGGTGTTGGGAGCCTGAGCAGAGGGCTGCAGAGGGCACGGGTCGTCCAAGGCGTGAGCAGGCAGTTCTTTCAGAGTTGCTTTACTGCTCTGCATCCACGCTGGCCCTTATTTAATGACTGCATCGTCTAAGTTTGCCCTGCCCTAAGTTTGACATCTTAAGTTCTCTTGTGCATCAGTGGTAAATTTTGGAACTCTGCTTCTGACTTAATGCCGACATCATAAATCTAAGAAGACAAATCTCAGATCATCCATCCACATCATGTCTGGTTGCTAGAGTGCTTTCTGTGAGCACTTACATTTATTAAATCAGTAGCTGTAGCTGTGCCTCTTCTGATCCAGCTCTCTGCTATGGCCTGGGAAAGCAGTAGAAGATGGCCCAAGCGCTTGGGCCCTGCACCTGTGTGGGATACTGGAGGAAGCTCAGATCGGCTTAGCTCCAGCCACTGAAGCCATCTGGGGAGTGAACCAGCAGATGGAAGACCTCTCTCTCTGCCTCTCTCCCTCTCTCTCTCTCTAACTCCACCTCTCAAATAAATAGAAAAATAAATAAAATCTTAAAAAAAACCCAGTAGCTGTAGACCCCAAGACGTTTGGTCAAAGAATGTACCAAGCATTCACTTTTAAAAAAACTGATAAGATCATTTTAAAAAATTTCAATTCCCTTAGGACAGTAAAGTTTGAGTTTCTGCTTAAAGGGAGCTGGTACTTCCCAGATCGGCAGTGAAAGGGAATTTCTGAGAATGGTTATTATGAAAGTACTCGACACAAGGTTCCTGAAGTCTGAATAGAGAAACTACTTGCAGGAGTTTATTATCGAACGCAGTGCTGCAGAATTTACAGGAGGAAGTGAAGCCTCTGACGTGCATGTAAAAGTGTAACTGGAATTTCTCTGAGGAGTTTCAGAACTGATCATGAACACAGAAGAAAGGAGAGAGAAAGGAGTGAGATGCTCCCGGGTGACAACCACTCCTGGAAGCTGGCAGTGCTGTGCTGGCCATGTTGTGATTCAATACACAGATGCCCAGTTACATAACCTGGCAGGATCAGGGAGGCACCTGTAACCTGGCCTTCTAACACCAAGGAACTCTTTTGAATGTGTCCCACTTTTCCTGCAACCTGACTCGGTGGTTAAAGTAAAACTGGATACTCAGGACTCAAATTCCTGAAGCTCTACCTCAATATTTTTAGTACACATCCAGCACAGTGGAATTATCCAGCTTCCAAACTCCTCAAGGCTTAATGAGTAATCCAAAACACCATGGCATCTAGAACAACACGAATATCGCAATCTTTAGCATTAGACTAGGATGACTAAAGAAATGAAACATAAAACATATAGTACTCGGAAGCAAAATAAAGTACCCATATACTCTTATAGAAAGCCATCAAGATACAACCAAATAAGGAAAAAAAAATCTTTGCTTTCACTTAATCCCACCTTCTTCGTGTTACAAAGCAGCCTGCAGGAGGGGCTCCGACTTTGAGAATACGCAGTAGCTTACTCTGTATTCTCGGGAGACCATTTCCCGGATGGATACGGGGTTGCCTGACTTTTGGGTAAAGGATGATTCTGAAAGTACATTTTAAAAATAACCTCATTTTCAAAAACCAAATGGCCTTACGTGGCCTCAGCCATCTAAAGGGACACTCCTGAGCCATTCCTGAAGCCACGGTCTCCTCTAGGTTGTCTTCCTCGTCCTGTGGGCGTGCTGCTCTCCCCTGGTCTGTGCCAGAGTGCAGCCTTCTAATCTCTGCCTCACGTGGAAGGGCAGACAAGGCTGGGCACAGAGATTCTCCTCGGACACCCTCCGGGTGGTGCAGACTCACGGGAAGCCAGCGGCTGGTTGCTCCAAGCCTGATGAGCCCGGGACTACACTGGGAGCCTCTGTGGCATTGAGCACTCCACGGAGGGGCTCCTGAAGCCGTGTGGAGTCAGGCACACAGGCGCGGGCCCCCTCACCGACCACGGAGTTCTCATCCTTGCCTCCTGCCCTCTGATACCTCCCCCCCACCCCGACATTGCCAGCCACATTTCTGATACCTCCCCCATTCCTGATAACCAGCCCTAGTGACACACAGCCAAGCTCTTGTGAGAAAGGGGACACTCCAGGCTGGGGCTTCTCGGTGACTCAGCTCCTCTCTCCTTCCCTAGGCTGTAGACAGTGATGCTCGCCATGCTACATCTGGAAAATCCACAGCCCCTCTCCATTTGGGGCTTGACCACAGGGACTTTACGATCCAGACTTCGCCCCTACTGAGGGCTCAGGGACTCCCCAGTGCATTTTCTCCCTGAGGCCCACGGACTCAGGCCCTGACACCAGATCACCTGCTACTCTGAGGCCTCTGAATGCCACTGAAAAAGTCACAAAAACACCGACCTGGAACCCTAGGAATTCAGGCTGCTTGATTTCAGTGACTTCTGAGAAATACGAGGGGTCTGCAGAAAGTTCATGAAAAAATGTGTACTGTGAAAAACACTGCATTGGTTTCACAAGGTTTTGTCCTAAAATAGACTTCTCTTCTAATTCCATATTCGCCCCCTCCCCAAACTTTTTGAAGTCCTCTTATACTTTAATTCAATTTCTTTTATTCTTGAGGCCAGGCACTCTCACTCTGAGGCACACGGACCTCTCAAATTATATTTATAATTCCATATAGGTACTTTTCTCTAGGAAAAATATCCGTCGTCTTTTTTTCTAAAAAGTTGGCTAATTGTATGCACTAGCTGGTTATTCCCTATTGCATTGTTATCTTAATTTCTAATGTCCTACATTCATTCTTTCACTTCACCTACATGTGTTGTGCAAGGCCCATTCTGGTTGCTGGGGCATGGGCTGGGGGCCACAAGCATGGGGGACAAAAAACTGGAGATTTATGAAGTCTACAGGTAAGTGGCATGTCAAATGCAGCACAGAGATCACAGCTATTTTATTGCAAAATGGCTAATACAATGAAAACACCTATGGAGGCAGGCATTTGGTACAGGGTTAAGTTGCCTCTTGGGACGCCTACAGCCCATGTTGGAGGGCCTGGTTCCAGTCCTGGTTCCTCTGCCTTCAGTCCAGCTTCCTGCTGTTGTGTGCTCTGGGAGGCAGCAGATTAACAGCTCAGATGCTTGGGTCCCTGCCACCCACCTGGGAGATGTGGATGGAGTCCCAGGCTCCTGGTTTCAACCTGGCCTGACTCTGTTATGGGCATCTAGGGGAATAAACCAGTAGATGGAGGATCTCTTTCTCTCTCTCCCCGCTTTACCCCTTCCCTCTGTCTTAATCTCTCTGCCTTTCAAATAAACTGAAAATAAATAAGTAAATAAAAAATCCCCTCCAAATTCCAGCTTCTTAATAATGTGTACCCTGGAAGACCACAGGAAATGGGTCAAGTGGTTGGGTCCCTCGCACCCCCGTGGGAGACCTGGATTGAATTACCATTTCCTGGCTACAACCTAGAGCAGGCCTAGCTGTTCTCAGTATCTGGGGAGTGGGAGATGGATGTAGAGCTCTGTTTCTCTGTCTCTCTGCCTTTCAAATAAAATTTTTAAAATACATTTTTTAAAAAGAAAAAAATTTCTGAAGATCAATAATGAACAAGTAAAAAGATTAGACAGGGTTGTGACAAAAAAAATCAGATACAAGTAAGAAATCAGCACAAGGCACATCAAAAAATGAAAACATCAAGCATCTAAAGCATAAAGGCACTGGGGCAATTAATATACACGAACACCTCCAAAGGAGCCAGGGCTGAAATAACTGGCCGAAAAGGGGAAGCAGCAGCAAGCCTGGCAGGCAGGAGACCTAGGGTGTGATCCATCTGTGCCAACTTCAGGCTCCCTTTGGCCTCTCAGTCTCCCTTTCCTCACCCGTACATTGAGAAGTGAAGTCCCTGCTTGTTAAAAACCCCAAAGTTCTATTCCGGAGCTGCTATATGTATGGGCTAACGAAAGCCAGGTTAGGCTGCACTGACAGGAGCCTAGAAATAGGAAGTGACACCATCAGCAAGCCACGGCTGGGGCCCGGAAGTGCTGCCTGTGACATGAGCAAGCCGGGGAGTGGGCACGCCTGGCCTGGCCCAGCCTGGCTCCCAGAGGCTGGGGGCCTCTGTTCCTGCCCTTACCTCAGCGGCGTGTAGAGCTTTCTGAGACGCATCCTCTTTGCTGACCCCGGCAAACGCCCGCTGCTCAGCGCTCTGAGGCTCTGCTGCTCAGCACGGCACCGGGAAATGAGCAGAGCAGCACGCGGGGCCCGTCTTCTGGGAGGTCCTCACTTACAGTGTAAGACATGCTGATCCAGTTCACTCGCGTTTTCAGGTAAAACATCGCACAAACTGTCCCAGAAAGAGAGCCACCTACTATTTTCTTAAAAATATCCAAATAAGGAAACTCTACAACCTCCCTGGTGTCTCATATATCTACCCGGTAACCTAAATCTTGTCTGATACGATTAAAGCTTCCCTTTCTTGGGTTAGAGTCTCAGAGGGAATTACAGGAGCTGTTCAATTCATAAAAATCCCATCACATGCTGTGGTATCCGCATCAGGTCTTTCTTTTTCATTCTTATAACCTGCTCTTTTTTTTTTTTTAGGACTTATTTTCTTATAAATCTTTAATAGTTTTCTTTGGTATCATCTTGGTTCTTTTTCAAGTATTATAGAAAACAGTATGGAAGTTCCTCAAACAATTAAAAATAGATCTAGCATATAACCCATCCCATTACAGGGTATATATTCAAAGCAATGAAATCAGTATGTCAAAGAAATATCTGTACCCCTATGTTTACTGAAGATTAGTCATAATAGCCAAGATATGGAATTAACCTAAATGTCCAACGATGGATGAATGGATAAAGACAATGTGATATATGTACAAAATGGAATACTATTCAGCAGTAAACAAGAATGAGATTCTGTCATGTCCAGAAACGTGGCTGAAACTGGAGGGTGTTATGTTAAGTGAAATAAGCCAGGCACAGCAGCATAAATACCTATGATCTCACTCATATGAATGTGGAATCTTAAAAAAAAAAAAAGTTGATCTCATAGAAGTACAGAGTAGAAGGGTGGTTACTCGGGGCTGGAGGAGGGTTGAGGGGTTTGGAGAGATGTCATAATTACTGTTAGAAGGAAAACGTTCCAGGGAGCAATTGGACAGAAAGGTTACCACAGTTAATAGCAACAAATTGTGTACTTGAAAAAAAGAAAGACAGCAGACGTGATGTGCTCTGTCACAGAAGTGAGAACTGCACAAAATTATGCACTTGTTAGTTAACACACTTAACACTTTACAATGTATATACACTTCAAAACATTATGTTGTACATGATAAATATGTAGAACTTTATATGTCAATTAAAAGTTTGTGGGGAAAAAAAGCCCAAGAAAAAAGTTCCTGAACCAAGCCAACCAAACAAAAAACAATAGAGGAAATTAAATTGAGTGAGGGGTTTAAGGGAAAAGTGCATAACTTTTCAACTTCTTTGTTAACTCCTTACATTATTCCAAAATAAGTAATCCATTAAAATAAGTATCAGTTACATGATACAGGGGTGAAGGGACCTCAGAGGTTATCTATGTGACCATGCTCCTATTGCAAAAGCATGAAACGACACCCAAGTTAAAGGACTTCCCAAGCCCCACGGGACACACTGGGGTCCTGCCTGGGACTAGGATCAGGACCCAATTTTTTCTCTTCTCTATCGTAAGTTTTAAAACCTTAAGATAGACCTTTGGTCTTTAAGAAAGACCTTTCCAACACAAGGGGAACAAAATGCCCCATGATTTCAAGTATCCTATGACTACAATTTCATCTACGTTTCCTGCATATGAAGGGGAACAGAATCTGGGTATTGCAGAGGCTCCCTCTAGGTATGGGCTGCAAGTAATGTGCCAAATTGTGTATACAAATACCATGCACAAGGGCACCTAAAGGTGAGTGAATGCTCCCTGCTTTTGTCGGTATATTGATTTTTGACTTTGCATTAAAGGCCTTCTGATTTTCCTTAGCAACCCAAAAGCAAACCAGATCAAAACGACTCAACATGAGATGAAACAGCCAAAAGACAAATTCAGAAATGAATACTACAATGATACGGTTGCACTTAGAACTGCAGTCCTCATGGTTTCAGGCAGTCAGTTTCCCTGGTGGGAGGTGGGAATCAGAGGGCCCTCCCTCCTCTGAGCTTACACTCCGACTTCTGCAATGTGCTCCCTGCTTCCAGTCCATTGCACTCAGGAGACTAAGAGCTCACAGCACTACCTCAGTGTCTGGCACACATGATGAACAGAGCACTGCCTTATCCACATTCCAAGACCCCAGTGGATGCCTGAAACTGAGAGTGCACCAAATGACACACATGCACACATATACACACACACGCGCGCACACACACACGGATGTATGTACACAGGTACACATACTGTGTTTTTTCCCATATGCCTTGCAGTGTTGCCATATAGTAGCAGCAGAATTAACCTGTCCTTCTATCTCATGGCCTGAGTGGGAGGTAGGGACAGTACCAGTGTGGTTTTCTTCCTCACTAGCTCTTGTTTCTAAAAGCAAAACCTCAGTGATCTGGAATATACTACTTGTTATCTTCAGTCATGGTGCTTCCTATACTTACTGCAGGTATTATGAATGCAAAAAACCCAGATGATTCTGTTTAGAGGCCATTTTGGTTTGTATGCATCCAGATCCCTCTTTATTCCACTGTCCTCTACTTACAAAATAGTGGTGGGCATTTAAGGCCTAGTGGTTAAGATGCTGATTAAGGGGCCTGTGATGTAGAGCAGGTATCCTCCTGTGATTCCAGACTCCAGTTTCCTGTTAATTAGGAGCTTGGAAGGCGAGAGTGATAGCTGAGCAGACTGAGTTACTGCCACCCACATGGGACCCGGATTGAGCTCTCAGCTCCCAGCTCTGTTTTCAGCACCGTCTGGCCATTGTGCAGATTTAGGGAGTGAACCTGCAAATGGGAACGTGCTCTTTCCCCCTCTCTCATAAGTGTGTGTGTGTGTGTGTGTGTGTGTGTGTATGCCTTTCAAATAAATAATAACCAAAAAATAAGTAAAAAAAAAAAAAACCACTGTAAAACGAGGAGGGAAGTAGACATGTTAGAAATGGGAAAATGGGGGCCTAGAGAGGGAAGTTACTTCCAGAAGTCTCAAAGTGAGCCACTGACTAGTTCAGAACGGGAAGTAGAATCCACAGGATTCTTACTTTGGGTTTAGCCAAGGCAAAGGAAAAAAACAAATCAAGCAGCATTTAAAGAACAAAAAGATTTTTAAAAACATCTTCAGATGCACAGTTCATGAACCACACTTTACATTGCAGATACACGGAGCTAAGATGTAAATCCTCAGATGACCCATGCTAGAGCACAGCCTGCCTCTCTCCCTGTCTGAGCTAGTGTAAAGGCATTTCAGGCTTCCCATTAACCACACTCAAAAACTAACGAT